GACCATTTTGAAATAATTTGGAAAAGTTAAAGTGAATTCTAAAAGAATTCATTTCATTAGCCAAGAATGTGAAATTGAGATGAATATGAGGATTAGTGGATGAATGTGGATAGTAGGAGGATTGAAATTGTATTTTTTAAGTATTAAAGTAAGCATTGAAAATACAAAATGGAGTTTACATCGAATATGCATTAATTGCATAATTAGCAATTTTTATGTTAATATATGCCTATTATGTTAGTGTAGATACTAACATATGCTTTGAATTTTATACGTTGGTAAATTATATTCGTGTAGATTGTACTTAAGATTGTGAGAATAATAAGTTTAAAGCTAAGGAAAAGTACGAGAATAAGGCTTATACAAAAAAAATAGAGGTTCACTAGTAAGGCATTACCAAGTGAGTGTATTATTGTTTTTATACTATCGTTTATGATATGATGACTGCTTGAGATGAGCCAACCTCGAATGATTTGGAAAGAAAAGTATTTACATTATATTATGATTTATTTTTATATTGTTTACAAAACGATATTCAGATGATTTAAGTATAGATTACTCAATACATTTTTATATGATATTTTATTTAATAATATTTGAATATTTTCTAAAAATGGTTTCGAAATGATTATATTGTGTGAGCTATTCAAAGTATTTTATATGATATCTGATATATGGTTATGGATGATTTTGGGTATGAACTACCCAACACACTTTTATATGATATTTGGATATGATAGTATATATTAATACATTGGATATATGAATGAAACATGATTATGATGTAAAACCCCATTGTATGTGCATTGAGAGTCGTAGGTACAATTGGTATGGCATGAGGTGGAGTGGTTACTGATTACTAATTACTGAACTGGTTTGAAAAAAAGCTAAAGTTTTTTCTGAATACACTGATTTGGCATTATATGCCTTATGTATATATGTGAAAGAATGATTTTATAGGTTACAATTACCATATAAGGAAGAAGGTTTAAATTATCAGCTTTATATATTTTTTATACGACAGTGAAAACTCTTTGGTTACGTATAATCCTTTCATAGTTTAAAATGTTATATCTTACTTTATATGTCTCACTGAGTGAAAACTTAGCGTGCAATTGTTCCACGTGTAGGTAAGGGAAATCGAACGAATTAAGAAGTGTGGTTTGGCATCACTTTTGAAGATCGTACCAGCTCCCAATATCATTATGTTATTTTATAATGTTTTGACTTTTTTAGTTGGCATGTATATTATTCGAGTGTTAAGTTACTTTGATAAGATAGTTATAAGTCAATTAGTAAACTATTAAATATACCGACTAAATATGGACACTACCAGGTATAATTAGTAGATGCATGAACAATAGTTTCCTAAGTTATGTTTTAAATACTAACTGTAACACCCTCAGACCGATACGGATAACCCGATCCGATATAGAGTGTCACATTAGGGCCACCGGAGCGACCCACCGTAAAAATCTCAGAAAATTTAAAACTTTTATTAAAACATATAACCCATAATTGTTTTATCAGCATTCAGAAATAAAAACAGATTTTCAGACTCGTAAATAAAACAAAATACAATTACATGCCCCCTAATCACATGTACCATACTCTGCAAACAACGCCGGAAGAACTCCCTTATTGATATCAATAGTTGCACTGGTACAATTCTTTTAACCTGCAATGGTGAGTAATAGAGTGAGCTTCGGAAAGCTCAGTAATACAGAACAACCTGATGATGCTAAAGGACATGCAGATAAATGGAAAACCATAATTTCCTTATTTAATCAAACATATACCAGTTACGGAATAATCTGGGGTTCCATTAGTAGTTCATCAAGTAGATGTCATGAATCTCAGTTCATAAGAAACCTTTCATACTATCACGCTTTCATGAAGTCGAATAAGATGTCTAGTGTGTTCCAACAGTACGATAAAATCATGATAGGTACACTAAACAAATAATATCTCAGTAAAATTTTATAGTGGTTTAAAAACCCATCGTATAAAGAGTTAACCTAAGGGAACATCTTAGGGCCTGAGAGCCTACCCAAGAAAGTTTTGGGGCCATGAGGCCTACCTAAGAACACATCTTAGGGCCGCGGGGCCTACCCAAAAATAATCTCAAGGCCGTAGAGCCTACCTAAGAGTCACGTTAGGTCAATAAAATTTTCCAACTTGATCAGAGCTGTACTTTACAAATCAGTATCTCCAAGATACAATTTATACCGTGATACAAATCCATAAGCCATCACCATTAAGTCGGTGCATACATAAAACAATAACCATAGATTTCTGTGTACCTTATTTTAAAACAGATAAAACAATTATGTAGTACATAGGGAACACACTAGAGGATCCAAGTATTTTTAAAGGCCATTGTAGTTATCAGTATGGATAACACGAAACTTATGTAATTTGATCAGATTCCAGGAACGAGATCATATTGGAGAGAATCAATTACTAACTGATCTAATCAGCCATTTAATGTTGATACCTTAGAATTCCAATATGATTTATGTGCATCAGGAAAGTCATCATGAACCTTTATACCGAATGAATTTTAGATTCAGATTTATGGAGAGTGATTTCATTACTCAACCAATCTGGGTATCCAGATTCCTTTGCATCTGAGTTACTTGTACGAATCAGATATGACCGGAGTGATTTGAGCTGATAAAGGAGAAACGAATATTTTGGGCAATTACTATCCATGACAATCGATCGGATTACTGAACAACTTGAGCTGAACAACTCTCAGAACTGGTGTCTGTCGACCGGTCAAGCACTTCCTGGTATTCACTCTATAATACCAACAATTCTTGTCCATAAATCATTTCAGAATCATCGCTAAATATACCTTAAGGAATCGAACAAGCATCCTTATAATCTTTATTTTCTTTCCACATTACAACAATATCAAGAATTAATTACGTATTTGATTCTTAGTTCATATCCATAGAGACCGTACATCATACAAGTTTATTATATTTACAGACTCATCCAATTACTTACTAAATTCTCCGTCATTAAGGTTCGTTGGTTCTTTTAGCAATTAATGTTATCCCGGTTACTTCAAAGTTTTCCAGAGAAATTCAAACACTTATGAGTTTCGGATACACGTACTTTCGTTCAGTTCACTTTGGTCATATACTAAAATCATTTTGGTATTCGTGATTGATTTATCTCACAAATATTCATTTCTTAATATCGAATGCACTCTAGCTTTGAGCTGAGCTGAGTATTTCCATAATTATCATCAATCCCAACTTGAGAATACGAACTAGCATTCAAGTGGTACTTATGCCATTCAAGTATTGATATAACACTAGCATTGTTTGACCGGCTTAAGTTGCGTTTCATAACTTCAAATAGTAGTACAACATCCATGTTTATTTGGATTCCTTAATTAATCCAACATCTACTTAATCTAGGTCATAAGGGTATTTTGGTCATTTTGATGCTCAATGTTTTTTTCCATTCATTTCAAAGCTTGAGGATGTCCATTCATTCCTTGGCTTGGTGATATTCTTGAGTCATTTCCATTACAGGGGTATTTTGGTCATTTTATAGATTCAGTGTATTTCTATCATTTCCTTCCATTATGTCTTATTATTTTATTCCAATTTATCATCTATTTCAGTCCCTTCGAACAATTATGATAAAAGAGCACCCTCTGATAAATTTTTCTTCAGGTATTAACTCATAACTCGGATATTTCTGGGTCAAGTGCCTTCTCAGATTTAACAAACATAGTATCATGAATTTTTCTGTACAAAGACATGATCTTAACAATTAAATTCATACTTAATCGAATTAAGTACGAATCCTCAAAGTACTTTCTCATTCAGGGTCAACTCAGATTATTTTACATCTTAAGGGTATTTTCGTAATTTCTTAACCAGATAATTTCAGTATTTACTCTTAACAAAAATAAATATAATTTAGAGATCCTATGGTTAATTTCTTTTCGGAACATTCTCAAATCTTGAATGATTCCTTAACATACTTCTAGTATCGTGCATAAACCCTCTTGCGGTTAAAAACCTATTAACCGAATTTTCCAAGCAAAACTAGCATTTCTTATGCACATCTGTAAATTTATCAGATCAATATGCCTTTTCAGAGTTATTAACCAACTTCCAGGAACAATTCTTGTCCTTATTACAACATAAGGGTATTTTCTTAATTTTACCTAATCAAAATATTCTCATAATTATCATCCAAGTACCTTTAATGAGATAAATTGATGATAAATTATAACCTACATATCCATGGTTGATTCCTTTATCACTTAATTCCAACTTTACTCCAATTTCTTATAATAGTCATCTGAGTCATATTCAGTTACTTATTTTCAACTGCATTCGTATCGAGTATAGAATTTTATTAATTACACATATGAGCTCAAACATTTCCATTCATGCATTTACCAATACCAACATGTTCTATAAAGCATAAAGAGGTAGTAAAGTATTACCTCGATTTCTGTGCCATACTGATCGACCATTAAATTCCATTCGAATGCCCTCGATCTTGAAATCATATTTCAATATTTCCTCGGATCCATATCAACAAAAATTACATCAAAAACGGATCTTAATTCTGAAAAACGGATCGAATCGGATGATAAATCAATGAAAAATAGCTTACCGGGCTCGAATTTGGCGAAACAGACTGCGAAATCGAACTCAAGATGTCGAGAAAAACCCAAACAATAACTCTTGAATTTAAGCTAACCAACTCAATTTCTAGCTTCTAATCTTTTTCTCAATAACTCGAACCTTTAAATATCGAACTTAAATTCCAAAATAAATTTCCTAGCCATAAAAATATCTTATTAAAAATCTTTTCTGTAATATAGGGACATAACTAAAAAAATTAAGAACTCAAAGGGCCAATTTAATACTTAGCTACCAAGGCAAGTGACCAAAATAATCTTATTCAAACCAGTAGACAACATTCATAATTATATAAAAAATAGAAGACAAGGTTTAATTCTCACCAAACTTGGATGACTCCGATTGTGATTTACCCTTCATCCTTTATTAAACTTTTCCTACAACCCACGTGATTTGCTTCTTCATTATTTATCAGTTTTGAAGGGTCAGGCATTGGACTTTCCTTTGCTCAATTACATCGTCCTCCTCTTTTCTCACTTCCTTCTCGATGTCCTTTAACTCTTACTCATTAGCTAGGTCATGTGCTAATACTAGCTTCCGAATTCTTTCAATTGAATCACGCTCCTGTCTAACACCACTACTCTCATCACGTGTTCTATCGATATTTCCAGGATCATACATGGAGTGACCATAATACCTATAGGAGTCCATTACAAGAATTATTGCTCCACTCTTAAAGACATGTTCTTTAGTAAACTTGAAAGCTTGCTTCAAAAAGAGAGAATCCATACCATCCACCTTCAAACCAGGAACAAAATCCCCATGTTTGTAATATGTTGTACTCTTCGAAGCTCTCCACTCGACTGTCCCCATTAGCTCGGCAAAAACTTCCAACAGGGTGCCACCGCGGTCCATGAATATGCAGTGATCACGATAGGCGTTTATGATGAAATCCCTTTTTTTCATTCTTTCCATCACCCAATCGCTGCTCACCTTGATAGCAGGCCAAGCTGCCTCCGAGAACTCCACTTGGACGGCGGTGTCGCGATTTGAAATAGTCGTCACCTGAGTTATCGTTAGCGTCTCGCCAACCAGACAACCTTCGGATTCTTGTACTCCTCTACCATTCTCTTTACTGATTTTAGCGTTAAATTTTATAATAATTTTGGAGTGGGTTCAACAAAGCGCTCATTATTCGTCATTGCTAACATGAGTTTTTGAGTAGTTGAGCGTACCAACTCTTTTGAATAGACAGATAGTAAGACAAATAAAATTGTCTTATTCTATCAAATGCACCCACCACCATTATTATACTAAAATCATAAAATAATGAAACTCTCCCCACTTATGGTCTCCATTATTCACATTATAAAATTAATAATAATAAACAAATTCACATCAATCAATAATGTATAGAATTCACGTGAATTCTAGAGTTTTTGAACCCAAAGAAAGGCAAAATTATACTTAGAGTCCTCAACCTTCTCAAAATTCCTTGATAGCCAAAATTTTAATGAGACCACTTCTATAAATATCATATGAAATTTTAACTCATAGATTGGGGTGTTACAATTCTCCCCTCCTTATAAGAATTTCGTCCTCGAAATTCATTCATGTCACATAATTGCAGAAATGAAAATTCCATCAATTCTTCCATATCTTCAAGTAGCTTTTACAGAAGTATGTATCCTCTACTAATCCTTAACCAGTTGAGTTTACATTTTATCTGAACTCTCCCTCAGTCCAATAAAATAACCCGATCTAAAATTTCCATGAGTAATCAATTTAGTCTTGGTCATGAGAATAGGCTCATAGAGTAGTAGAATATCACAATTTCATTTCCGTAGTCGAGTCATAATTTCCCAGATAATTAACTCTCACATGGATCAGGGGTACTTTACAACGTTTAGACAGATGTTACTGTTATTCCTTTTTGTACAAGTATAGCCTTAACAGATAGAAACTTTGGTTTACTAGTTACAGATAGGGACTCAGCCCTGGAGTTCCGGCTCAGAGAGGTACGATTACAGTCTAGGGGCATGTACTGATCAGACATATTTTGATATTCGACCAGCCGGTCTATCTTGAAATTTTTTGACTCAAACCATAGCTCTGATATCACTAAATGTAACACCCCAGACCGATGCGGGTAGCCCGATCCGATATAGAGTGTCACATTAGGGCCACCGGAGCGACCCACCGTAAAAATCTCAGAAAATTTAAAACTTTTATTAAAACATATAACCCATAATTGTTTTATCAGCATTCAGAAATAAAACAGATTTTCAGACTCGTAAATAAACAAAATACAATTACATGCCCCCTAATCACATGTACCATACTCTGCAAACAACGCCGGAAGAACTCCCTTATTGATATCAATAGTTGCACTGGTACAATTCTTTTAACCTGCAATGGTGAGTAATAGAGTGAGCTTCAGAAAGCTCAGTAATACAGAACAACCTGATGATGCTAAAGGACATGCAGATAAATGGAAAACCATAATTTCCTTATTTAATCAAACGTATACCAGTTACGGAATAATCTGGGGTTCCATTAGTAGTTCATCAAGTAGATGTCATGAATCTCAGTTCATAAGAAACCTTTCATACTATCACGCTTTCATGAAGTCGAATAAGATGTCTAGTGTGTTCCAACAGTACGATAAAATCATGATAGGTACACTAAACAAATAATATCTCAGTAAAATTTTATAGTGGTTTAAAAACCCATCGTATAAAGAGTTAACCTAAGGGAACATCTTAGGGCCTGAGAGCCTACCCAAGAAAGTTTTGGGGCCATGAGGCCTACCTAAGAACACATCTTAGGGCCGCGGGGCCTACCCAAAAATAATCTCAAGGCCGTAGAGCCTACCTAAGAGTCACGTTAGGTCAATAAAATTTTCCAACTTGATCAGAGCTGTACTTTACAAATCAGTATCTCCAAGATACAATTTATACCGTGATACAAATCCATAAGCCATCACCATTAAGTCGGTGCATACATAAAACAATAACCATAGATTTCTGTGTACCTTATTTTAAAACAGATAAAACAATTATGTAGTACATAGGGAACACACTAGAGGATCCAAGTATTTTCAAAGGCCATTGTAGTTATCAGTATGGATAACACGAAACTTATATAATTTGATCAGATTCCAGGAACGAGATCATATTGGAGAGAATCAATTACTAACTGATCTAATCAGCCATTTAATGTTGATACCTTAGAATTCCAATATGATTTATGTGCATCAGGAAAGTCATCATAAACCTTTATACCGAATGAATTTTAGATTCAGATTTATGGAGAGTGATTTCATTACTCAACCAATCTGGGTATCCAGATTCCTTTGCATCTGAGTTACTTGTACGAATCAGATATGGCCGGAGTGATTTGAGCTGATAAAGGAGAAACAAATATTTTGGGCAATTACTATCCATGACAATCGATCGGATTACTGAACAACTTGAGCTGAACAACTCTCAGAACTGGTGTCTGTCGACCGGTCAAGCCCTTCCTGGTATTCACTCTATAATACCAACAATTCTTATCCATAAATCATTTCAAAATCATCGCTAAATATACCTTAAGGAATCGAACAAGCATCCTTATAATCTTTATTTTCTTTCCACATTACAACAATATCAAGAATTAATTACGTATTTGATTCTTAGTTCATATCCATAGAGACCGTACATCATACAAGTTTATTATATTTCCAGACTCATCCAATTACTTACTAAATTCTCCGTCATTAAGGTTCGTTGGTTCTTTTAGCAATTAATGCTATCCCGGTTACTTCAGAGTTTTCCAGAGAAATTCAAACACTTATGAGTTTCGGATACACGTACTTTCGTTCAGTTCACTTTGGTCATATACTAAAATCATTTTGGTATTCGTGATTGATTTATCTCACAAATATTCATTTCTTAATATCGAATGCACTCTAGCTTTGAGCTGAGCTGAGTATTTCCATAATTATCATCAATCCTAACTTGAGAATACGAACTAGCATTCAAGTGGTACTTATGCCATTCAAGTATTGATATAACACTAGCATTGTTTGACCGGCTTAAGTTGCGTTTCATAACTTCAAATAGTAGTACAACATCCATGTTTATTTGGATTCCTTAATTAATCCAACATCTACTTAATCTAGGTCATAAGGGTATTTTGGTCATTTTGATGCTCAATGTTTTTTTCCATTCATTTCAAAGCTTGAGGATGTCCATTCATTCCTTGGCTTGGTGATATTCTTGAGTCATTTCCATTACAGGGATATTTTGGTCATTTTATAGATTCAGTGTATTTCTATCATTTCCTTCCATTATGTCTTATTATTTTATTCCAATTTATCATCTATTTCAGTCCCTTCGAACAATTATGATAAAAGAGCACCCTCTGATAAATTTTTCTTCAGGTATTAACTCATAACTCGGATATTTCTGGGTCAAGTGCCTTCTCAGATTTAACAAACATAATATCATGAATTTTTCTGTACAAAGACATGATCTTAACAATTAAATTCATACTTAATCGAATTAAGTACGAATCCTCAAAGTACTTTCTTATTCAGGGTCAACTCAGATTATTTTACATCTCAAGGGTATTTTCGTAATTTCTTAACCAGATAATTTCAGTATTTACTCTTAACAAAAATAAATATAATTTAGAGATCCTATGGTTAATTTCTTTTCGGAACATTCTCAAATCTTGAATGATTCCTTAACATACTTCTAGTATCGTGCATAAACCCTCTTGCGGTTAAAACCTATTAACCGAATTTTCCAAGCAAAACTAGCATTTCTTATGCACATCTGTAAATTTATCAGATCAATATGCCTTTTCAGAGTTATTAACCAACTTCCAGGAACAATTCTTGTCCTTATTACAACATAAGGGTATTTTCTTAATTTTACCTAATCAAAATATTCTCATAATTTATCATCCAAGTACCTTTAATGAGATAAATTGATGATAAATTATAACCTACATATCCATGGTTGATTCCTTTATCACTTAATTCCAACTTTACTCCAATTTCTTATAATAGTCATCTGAGTCATATTCAGTTACTTATTTTCAACTGCATTCGTATCGAGTATAGAATTTTATTAATTACACATATGAGCTCAAACATTTCCATTCATGCATTTACCAATACCAACATGTTCTATAAAGCATAAAGAGGTAGTAAAGTATTACCTCGATTTCTGTGCCATACTGATCGACCATTAAATTCCATTCGAATGCCCTCGATCTTGAAATCATATTTCAATATTTCCTCGGATCCATATCAACAAAAATTACATCAAAAACGGATCTTAATTCTGAAAAACGGATCGAATCGGATGATAAATCAATGAAAAATAGCTTACCGGGCTCGAATTTGGCGAAACAGACTGCGAAATCGAACTCAAGATGTCGAGAAAAACCCAAACAATAACTCTTGAATTTAAGCTAACCAACTCAAGTTCTAGCTTCTAATCTTTTTCTCAATAACTCGAACCTTTAAATATCGAACTTAAATTCCAAAATAAATTTCCTAGCCATAAAAATATCTTATTAAAAATCTTTTCTGTAATATAGGGACATAACTGAAAAAATTAAGAACTCAAAGGGCCAATTTAATACTTAGCTACCAAGGCAAGTGACCAAAATAATCTTATTCAAACCAGTAGACAACATTCATAATTATATAAAAAATAGAAGACAAGGTTTAATTTTCACCAAACTTGGATGACTCCGATTGTGATTTACCCTTCATCCTTTATTAAACTTTTCCTACAACCCACGTGATTTGCTTCTTCATTATTTATCAGTTTTGAAGGGTCAGGCATTGGACTTTCCTTTGCTCAATTACATCGTCCTCCTCTTTTCTCACTTCCTTCTCGATGTCCTTTAACTCTTACTCATTAGCTAGGTCATGTGCTAATACTAGCTTCCGAATTCTTTCAATTGAATCACGCTCCTGTCTAACACCACTACTCTCATCACGTGTTCTATCGATATTTCCAGGATCATACATGGAGTGACCATAATACCTATAGGAGTCCATTACAAGAATTATTGCTCCACTCTTAAAGACATGTTCTTTAGTAAACTTGAAAGCTTGCTTCACAACGAGAGAATCCATACCATCCACCTTCAAACCAGGAACAAAATCCCCATGTTTGTAATATATTGTACTCTTCGAAGCTCTCCACTCGACTGTCCCCATTAGCTCGGCAAAAACTTCCAACAGGGTGCCACCGCGGTCCATGAATATGCAGTGATCACGATAGGCGTTTATGATGAAATCCCTTTTTTTTCATTCTTTCCATCACCCAATCGCTGCTCACCTTGATAGCAGGCCGAGCTGCCTCCGAGAACTCCACTTGGACGGCGGTGTCGCGATTTGAAATAGTCGTCACCTGAGTTATCGTTAGCGTCTCGCCACCCAGACAACCTCCGGATTCTTGTACTCCTCTACCATTCTCTTTACTGATTTTAGCGTTAAATTTTATAATAATTTTGGAGTGGGTTCAACAAAGCGCTCATTATTCGTCATTGCTAACATGAGTTTATGAGTAGTTGAGCGTACCAACTCTTTTGAATAGACAGATAGTAAGACAAATAAAATTGTCTTATTCTATCAAATGCACCCACCACCATTATTATACTAAAATCATAAAATAATGAAACTCTCCCCACTTATGGTCTCCATTATTCACATTATAAAATTAATAATAATAATAAACAAATTCACATCAATCAATAATGTATAGAATTCACGTGAATTCTAGAGTTTTTGAACCCAAAGAAAGGCAAAATTATACTTAGAGTCCTCAACCTTCTCAAAATTCCTTGATAGCCAAAATTTTAATGAGACCACTTCTATAAATATCATATGAAATTTTAACTCATAGATTGGGGTGTTACACTAACGATATGATTTTATAGTAAGTAGTTTTTAGGCAGTTTTACTCTTATTATAAAACAATACCGAACTGATGCATTGTTGCCTAAAAACATGTTTTGAAATAAATGATAAAATATTACTTTTCGATTTCTCGTAATTAAATATTTTAGTGATTGAAGTAAATTTGATTATTTTAAAAGAAACAAAATTTTACTGTTTTTTCAGATAAAAATGATTTTCAAGTATTTTGTGACATCTCTAACTTGTATACAGATCAAATACGGGAAAGGTTACAACAATGGGAACAAATGAAGGCCAAGTTCGCAAAGGGTAAGAAAACATCATCATCATCGACATCTCGTCTTCTGCTTCTGCCAAGTATTTTGCATCTTAGACCAGTTATGGTTTTTATCCTCAATATCATGTTTCAATGGAGAGTAAGCCTAATTGGGTTGGAGGTTCATGGGATGCAATGCAAAGCACTCAAGCATCTTCGACAAAACATGCGGGTGGAGGTGAATAGGATCATATTATATATGGTCAACAAGGTACTTATTTCGGTAGCAAGTTGATTCAATGACGACAATGACGGGATCAAATACCTTAAGTACTCCATCACTGTATAGGTGGATCTCAAATTGGAGTGATGTTCATTACACCTCCTGATCAACAAACAAACGAAGAAGAAGATGACTAAGGAAGATGACCACGACGTACTTGAAGAGCCCTCGCCATTATGATTCGACCACTCCTCGACATCGTAAAAAATTACAAAAATATAAATAAATTCTATTATGCATTGTCATAGTTTGTAAGAACATTTATTATTATTTTGTAATAAAATTATCTTTTATGTATTAAACAATTTTTAAAATTATTTTTTAAAAATCAAATTCGACGAAACTAGTCACGTCGACATGATGAGTTTCAATGGTTAAAATTTTTAAAATTCAAAATTTTCCAGTTGTCCAACGACTATTTTATTTTTAAATTCCTAGGTAACTCGTCACCTTGACGTGACGAATTTTTTTAAAAAAATATTTTTAAAAAAAAATATTTTTAAAATTATTTATCGAATTAAAAAAAATACTTCTCACGAGACTTATCACGTCAAGGTGACTAGTGTCTAGAAGTATACTATAATATTGACCAACGTGGAGCCAACTGATTCGAGATCATTAAAAATATTTTTCTACCAAATTCATCACGTCGACGTGACGAGTTTGTGCTATACTGTAGCATTTATCATAGATTGCAAAATAAATTCGAGTGACCTGTTGGACCAATTAATTTAGTCATATGGCCTAATGGGGAAAAACCCACTTGAAGGGACTTGATGCCATTTTTCCTCCTTCATATTCCTTCAGTCCATGCACCTTTTGTAACAATAAAAGATGTCCCTTCATAGGATCTACTTTCGTTGCTAACGTCGATGTTTAATACTTACTTTAATGCTTAACATTAGGCATCTGAATGATTTAAAAAAAAATTGGGCACCTATTTAGGAAAAATAATATAGTTTTAGCATTTATTTTATAATCAAGCCTATTTCTTATTATGTGTTTAGTTTATAATTGTGATCATAAACCTTCATTGTAATTTGACTGTTTTTCCTATTTTTAATAAAATTAGTGGCTTTTATCTTATAAAAATCTACACCCTAAATTTTAAACTGTAAATAAGAACTCTAAACCTTAAATTTATTTTACGTGATATATCTATTTTAATCTTAAAATCTAAATTTAAACCCTTATAAATTCTGAACTACAAATATAACATCTAAACCCTAAAAATAGACGAACATATATAAACTAAAATTTACATAATTATATATTAAATAAATTTCTTTGAATAAAATTTATTTTACATAATATATCTATTTAAATTTTAAATTTTAAAATTTTAAATAATAAAACCTAAATTCTAAATTTTAAAATCTAAGTTGTTATAAACCCCAAAGCTTTAAATATATAAATCTTGAATAATAGATATATATCCCACAAATATTAAAATAAACATGTTTATAAAAACTAAAATTTGCACCACTTGTGTATCAGATAATTTTTATAATTTTCATTTAAATAAGAGTTATTATTTGATAACATATTATGTATAATTTATTTTATATAATATATCTATTTTATCTAAAATACGAATCTTAAAATCCTAAATTTTAAAATTTAAATTCTAAAATTTAAATAATAAATTATATATTTTAATAACTAGACACCTAAACTCTAATTAATATCATTAGAAGGGTTCGAAGTTATCTCAATATTCAATTAGAGTATCACGACTGGTTACACAACTCGCGGAGCAAACAACCTCACTAATGCTTTAGCTGATTTTGTACATTATGTACAAAAAGCTGGGGTTTTCCATCTTACAACACTCTTCTATTTAAGCCTAAAATATTTTCGCTTCTTATCAAGTTGTGCTGATAAGAATATCGAGACACTGTTAACACAGTGGCCAATCCTTATAACCAAAAAAAAAAAAAAAAATTGAATTCTTAATACAAGATAACTATCAAGGGTAGTTCTGCTATACGGGCTAAGGAAAGACTTTATCGAAAATGTTAATATTTTTTTAATATTTTCAGTAAAGCGTTACTTAAAATATTATTTTTTTACCGAAAATGTTAATTTCATTATCTAATTTTTGGTATAAAAAATAACATTTTAGGTAGTGCCCAATATTAATATTTTCGATAGAAAAAAAATAACGTTTTAGGTAGCGCTTAACCGTAAATGTTAAAAAATATTAACATTTACAGTAACGCCTTTCCTTAACTATATATTAAGACTGTCATACCTGACACATCCCCTAACTATCACATAAACATAATATACTTAATAAAATAAAATATCATAATAACACATACAACATGATACAAGAAATTCAACACAAAAATAATATAAGCAGATGAATTTATCATAACATATATAATTATTTAATATCTTTTGAATAATTTAAGAATTTGAGTTGTAAATATAAAAAAAAATGAATCATCAAGTTAAATTTCAGATGGAATATATTAAATTCATTTTTTATAATATTTAATTTAAATTAATCAAATCAAATATTACTAATTATAAAAACATAAATGAATCTAACATTTCTGTTAATGTTTAAATGAATAAGTTGAGTAATTATACGTATAACATGGAATAGAATTATCCAAAGAAACAAACAGCCTCCAAAGTAACAAAAGTTTTAGTTTAGGTATCATGAATATAAAACTTATAACATTTCGGCCGTCGTTTATCCCACTCTCGTTGTTGTTCTTCGTTCCATCCTCACTCACTCAAATTTCACTAAGGGGGTTGTAAAATTCAATGGAAAATATGAAAACGGTGTTGATTGCATCCTCTTCTACACCTCCAAAGCTTTATCTCTTAGGAAACTCTAATAATAATAATAATAACCCTATCTTTACTCTGAAAACCCCTACCAAAATCTTCACTTTTCCAACTTCCAGGATTGCTCGTCGTCGTTCCAGAATCTCCTGCTCCGCCCACGCTACTCCTCTACGACGTCTTCCCCAAATTGGTTTTTTATTTTCTCTTTGGTTCCCTCTCTTTTTTTTCCTTATTTTTTTAAGTTTATTATATTTGATCTTATTCTGCTCCTCTTAATGCAGTTTTCAGAAAATCTGGAGACGAAAGGTTTGCCAGCATTTCTTCTTCAAGCAATCGACAAACTTCTTCGGTTGGAGTCAACCCTTATCCAGCTGTGCCACCGCCGTCCTCTCAGATGTAATTCAATCCGTCGTTTTCCTTGTATTATCTTTGGTTTCTAATTTCTGCTTTTGAAAACGGGATAAAATGAGCTAACTTTTCAGGAAAAAAAATCTCTTCAACGCATGATTAGAAAGTAGTAGTCTATATTAAAATTAATTTTTCATTTTAGTTATTTATCCATTTTTAATTTTTTTCCTTAGTAACTCATTAATGAGCAAAAACCGATTATAAAACAGAGCCGTAGTTTTCATGTATAATGAAATACTGTATTATTTTTCTTGTATATGAAATAGCTTTATATGAATTGATATCAAACTTTAATAATCTATACTTTTTTTTAGGGAAATAATTGTAGTTTTTAATTGTTTACTTTTACTTTGTATCAGTTTTGGGTTAGTGAAAGAGAAAGTATTGATTAGACGGACATTCCAGATATATATTTTTTCTGGTGTGTGTATATTTTATGAACATTTATTTCTTTGCTTAGTTGTTTGTTTGTTCATGTTTTGCAGAGGGTCCCCGCTTTCTGGATTGGAGTAGGCATTGGGCTCTCAGCACTTTTTACATGGGTGAGCACAAAGCTTCTATTTTTCTTTTCGGTCTTTTTGAGTGATATATAGTGTTATTCTATTAATTGGAATTTGTTATTTTGTATATATCATAATGAAGTTGATTGAAATGACAGGTAGCTTCAAGCTTAAAGGTGAGGGTTTCTTTCCTGTGAGGTATGGTTATAATGTTTTTCCTGTAAGTTGTATGATTGATTCTTATGTTATAGGTTTGGACGTAGAATTGGTTACTTCGATGAAGCAATGAAAATTGCAAATGGATAGAAATCTATTTAGTTTGCATGGTTTGGATGCTTTCTACTATTTGAAAGTGTTCATTACGCTTCTTGTAACATTCAAATACAGAAATTGGTACGTGAATGGGGAAACTTTAGATCAAATC